GGTTAATGTTACACCAAAGCCGTTTGCATTGCTTTAATTTTGTTTTAACACAAAAATTGGCCAGCACCAGTATTTATTTAATGTGCGCAACGCAATTGCCACAAAGAGCACTTCGACGGGGCGAATCGACTTGGACTGCAATTTCCTTCCGCCGACGGAGTGCGCATCTTGATCGTTGGAGTTGGGTTCTCAGGCCGTGGCCAGAAACTGGTATGCCGAAGCCGACGACGCTGCCGATGCTGCTGTTGGCTATTTCAAAATCTAACTGTTAACTGGAAAAGTTGAACGTACTTGCAGCATGCAACATGCAACGGCTGCACCCACGGCACAGCAACAACCACAGCCAGCAAGCAACTGAAACGAGTTGAAAGCCGTTTTCCAGAAAGCTGTTTCCCTCGACCGGGACTGAGGACCGAGGAACGCGGAACGGGCAGCGGAGACTCCGGGGAGCTCCGCATTAAGTTGGCCAAAAGCAACAGCAACAACAGCAGCACCACTTGAAAGTGGTTTTGTTGTCTAACTGCGTTAGTTTTGCTTTAAATTGTGCGCCTGAGCAACTTCAACGGACTGCATCGGCAACTCCTCCGAGGCGGCTTAATGGCTTTGGCTTTGGCTTCTTCATATTATCATCATCATCATCATCATCATCATCGTCGTCGTCGTAGTCGTAGTCGTAGTCGCCGCCATCATCGTCGCCTTGGCTTGGGTTCTCAGGCCGATGCTGGATAAATGTCATAGCGGCGGATGCGCTGAGCGCATTTATCATTAATCAAAGACCCATCCAGAGACTTCCAATACACTTGGATGTCAATGCGGAAATTGTGCTAGTACTAGTACTATGCCGTGCCAACATAGCGGGCTCTAAAACAGCTGTTGCCCCGGTGGTCGATCATTTCCGGCGACCGGTCCGAGTTCCTTTATTTTGACATTGGGGCAGAAACGGCAATTACTTCGGGCTCTTCTGCTTCTGCTTCGGCTTCTGCTCTGGACTCTGCTGCTCTGATTTATGAGTTTTTAATGAGCGGCAACTTTACACGAATTGTTAACAAGTTGTAGGCTGGAGAGCTGGCAATATGGTGCGAGGCGACAGCCACTAAACCATGCGCACTCGCACTCGCACCTTGACATATTCGAGTCGTGCGAATTGTCGGACTACCAGCGACTTCCCAGATATTAAGCACCAATGATACGGGCAATGGGCGTTGGAATGCATAAAATACCCTTACTTTCGGCATAAGCTGCCCTGTCATTGGGGATGCATTCGTTTTTTGTGGTTTTTGCAAGCCGTAGTTTATGGTGTAGCATCAAGTAAGGAAAGTTATTCCACGCTTCATAAATACTTAAAACTTTCAAAAGAGCATCCCATTTGCCACCATAAAAGTGTGGAATTCTCTTTGTTTCTGTTGTCTTTTGATTGATTATGCATTTTCATGCGAACTGGTTGCAGAGTGGAGCTGCAGTTGGGGGCATGCGGGCAGGTGAACATATTGTATGGCTGCAACTTAACTCCTCGCGGCCCGCAGCGGATTGGAGACAGGCCGGCGGCGGCATTGTCTGCCAAGCGGGAATGCTTGTGTATGTCTGGGGCAGGCTATGGACTCCGACTCGGAGTCGTTGTGGCTGTCAGTGACCTTCAGTGTGAGGCGGCAGAAAACTCGCAATTAGACAAAATGCTAAGACGCAGGATAAAACGCTCAAGTTGCAATTTACTGGCGCCGCTGTGCCACAAGATTTATGCGTCCAGCCAAAGGGAGGACGACGCACCACACCCTTTGGTCGCTGTGACAGTTTGACATTGAAAAAGTATAATTAATTGATTAGCCCACCAGCAGGTGGGCGTGGCCAGGGCCTGGCCCCAGCAACAGCTTTAATCGATTAAGGAAAGATTTATGATATACAAATATTCAGTCACACACAAATAAATGGGGCGCCGCCTGCAATTCGGAAATCAATCAAAAAACGATTGCACGAAACGCGACATGCAAAATGATAAAGGAGAGAAATAAGAAAAGAAACAAAAGGGTCAAGTGTTTCGACAATGGGATACCGGGTATTTAGTAGGGTATAAACGAGCTGCCGGAATTTTTAGTAGCTCAACAAATGTGTGTCACGATATGCGGCTGCGCCTCTCAGTCAGTTGAGCGAGGTTTTAGCATTTGGAAACGCTTCCCTCTATCTAATAGACCCATTTGTACATTTCCACTTACACAATATGCTCCCGAACTACCAAAGTACAGGGTATTTAAATGCGAGAAAATTTCCAAACTACTGTTAATCGAGTTATTGCATTCGATGATGCGCCTGATGCGTCGCATCCGGTCGCATACTTTGGGTGTGTAGACATTTTTCAAGCTATCAGCATTTATTTTTAATAAAGATGCCATCATTAATTTAGACTTCGATGGGGGTTTTTGTATAGAATGTTTGTTCGGGCGATCGGGCGAAAATGTGTCATTCATTCGCTTCTTTGACTTTGATTTAGTGGCTAGACAGGTTAATACCAGATGAGATCATCCCCCAGCGACACCGACACAGCGACAGCAAACGTTGATGACGGCGGCGATAGCGTTGACAGCATCCAAGGGGGTATAGCAGGCCAAAGAGCCAGTTTCACAGCAAGAGAGGGAGAGAGAGAGAGAGAGAGAGCGGGAGATCAAGAAATACAACGAATTTCGGCTTCAAGCTACGACGACATCAACTGAAAGTAGAGCCCGCTGGCGGCGACTGGCCTTCATTCAAAATTATTTGACATTGTACAAATATTTTGATAAGATCTACCACTCACATGAGGTATAGAGGCAGAGGTGGAGATTTCTCGTGAGAGCTGTATTGTGTGCCGTTAGCTGAGGGCGGGGAATATGCTTCATAATATCAATGCTTGAATGGATTTGAGTCTATTTATTTTCCATGATCTAAATGCTTTTGAAAGTACAGCCAGTAATCGCCTAGAACTTTCGAATGTTTAACCAGCAAACCGATCAATGATCGATTAAGCAAGTAATAACGATTGGGACTTCGATTTTACGGTCAAATGATCCTCTCATGTATGGTAAAAGTGCTGAAAGTATGAAACAAATCCAACAGATCTTTGCAATCATTTGCCTGAGTGAACTAAAAGTTAGCATTAATTAAATACACATTTTAATTAATTATATTAAACCACTGCAAACCATTCGCTTTTTATCGAATGTCTGGTGTCCATCAGTTTTGTTAAGTCTTGAACTGCTTTCAAGATAGTTAAAACCCAGTCAATTACAATTAAATGCGTGACAGTACACGGAAAGCCATTAAGAGCGTATCTCAGATAAATGGCTATTCGATTTGTTGCGAATGTTGATAATTTGGAAATTTGAAATACGTGCCAGAGATAAGGCTCTTGGGCTGCCGCATTGCATTTAGGTATTGATACTCCCAACTGGGCAATTCGTGATTCCCAATCAGCGTGAGCCGGCCAGTAGGCAGAGGAACAACAGCATTTGCTACATTTATCACGCACACATATCAGCTTGTCAGCCACGAGGCCCCTTAAAATAAAAAGGGAATGCGCAGCCCAACTAAAACCCAATCGCAGAGCCAGAGTCAATCGGAATAAGAGGGAAAGAACCAACCAAATTACGCTCATTTTGCAGCCACATAAATTTATCAGACATCTCAGAATATTCTCAACCACAATAAACATAAAATGAACCTCTCGCGCTCTCTCTCTCTCTCTAGTTTGAGGAAACCAGAGGAAAGGCAGCTTTAATTAAGTGATCATGAACATGGGCAAACACAAATCGCCAAAGGCTTAGTGGTACCTGGCACCCCTACCCCTACGGACAGGGAGATGGTACCCTGCTGTACAAACGACCAAACAAGATTAGAAGATGGCTGGAGCACTTCAAATGTCGTTAGAACATAGCAAATCTATGGCCCAGCCAATTCTTTTTATGGCCAAGACCAGCTCAACAGCAACAGACCAAACAGACCAAACAAGACTGGGAACCCAAGCCTCAGAACTTGAGGATTCTGAGGATCCACATAGCACATAGCAGAGAGCAGAGCAGAGCCAAAGCCCATGTAATTTAGCTCAGAGTGTGTATTTTATTTAAGCGTTTATTAGCTGATAAACTGAAATAGATAAATCGTAAGGGAAACGCAACTCCTTTGCCAAACTCTGGGGTTGTAGCCCCTTTAGCCTGTTGAAGGTTTTATTGCCAGCCAACGGCTAGACTTGTAACATGTACACCAAAGATAGATAATGGGCAAATACTTTTACACACTCGGCTAAGAAAGTTGTTTCGTTAACGCCCCAAAACTTGCATCCAGGCAGCACTTCCTGTGCTGTCTGCTGGGTTATATCATAATTATACCATATAAAGATGCTATCTGTTTTCCACACAAAATTATGACATTTTTCCCTCGAACGTAAAAAACACACAATTTTCAGTCATTCTATCCAATTAACAGTCGTCCCAGGCGACTGGACAGCCCAAACTCTAATGAAAATCAGTCGCCGCCAAGTGATGGCGAGAAACTGAAAGTGGAAAATGGAATGCGTGAGAAAACTGTATTGCCCACAAACAATGAACAAAAAAAACATTTGCTGTTCGTTCGCCAAAAGGTGTCTTGGGTTGAAAATTTTTATGCCGGTCCCGTTGTTGTATAAGTTTTCAGGGGAAAAGTAAAGATACATAAGTCTGGATACAGCAGAGCCATGTTTGCGCATAAATTTCAAGTGTCATTTACCTGTCCTCACATTTGTCTTTTGTCTTTCTTTACCCACTGTTTCTGTTTCTGTTATTTTTTGGCACCTGTTCAAGATGACCAGGCCAATTTCTGGCTGCTGTCCCCTTCGTGCTCAAAATGTTCAAGTTAATTATTTGTATTTGTTTTGGGACTCAAGCTCAAGACCCACAAATCGCCTTAGCCTTAATTGTATTTTTGTTTCATTTATTTAACTTGATTTTAATGATTTTTAATGTACGATTTCCTTTTTGTTTCTTTTCGTTTCTTTGCAGCAAAAATGAAAATATTTTTGCCCCTAGTCACGTGGATAGTGCTACTACTTTCGAGTGCAGTAAGTATTGAACCATTAAATAAAAATAATTATATTTAAGAATGCGATTAGATCATCCAGCAGTTAGCGTATGGTTCATAATAAATTTATGGGTTCCCAAGAAGCCTTTCGAAAAAGGTTCAAACAAAAGAGAAGCTCCCGCCCGAAGAGAAAGAAGATATTGGTTAAATTTACGATCTGGCACCTCATTATGAAACAAATTCTTATACAAATATCTCAAATGGGGAAATGGAAACCTCGAACAGAACATAACGAAGAGAGAGAATGGAAGGGTACAGCATAATATAACGATGGTTGGTGGTAGAGACCTTTGATGACCTAACGGTACGTGGTCGGTCCGGTCTCCGGTCTCCGGTCTCCTGTCATGCAAATGAGCCATAAAAAGAAATTACTGCCAAATGACTCGACTCCACGGCCGGCCATAGGTAAAACATATTTATTAAAACTAACATCTGACTGTGAAATCAGAGAGGAAAACCATCTCGTAAGATTCTCTACGATGCAAAGCAAATTTGGCAGCCAGACACAAGAATTCCGGGGCAAGCCAAACAAAAACCAAACAAAAAGAAGCAAAACGAACGACTACATGTAGAGAGAGAGAAAGAGAGAGGCACGAAGAGATTGTGGCAGTAATGATAGGATAGGGCCAAGCGGAAGAGAAAAATCCCAACGGTCAACGACTGGATTGGACGCAGCCAAAGCTGAGGCCGGGACTCCAGTCGATAGAAGAAAGCCAAAAAAACGTAATGAATAAAAATAGCCGCATTAGCTGTAAAAACGCTTTGATAGTCATCGATTTATGCACTCCGAGTAGGGGGAAGTCGGGGCTTTGAGAAATTGGCCAAAAGAATGCTCTCTAAGCCGAGTGGTAAGCCGAGAGTCGGGAGTTCATTGACTTTATACTCGATTTGTGGTTTGGTTCTGCGACAAGTCTGTCAATGGAGTTGGAGTGGCCCTCTCTTGTTGTGTTTGGTTTTATAGATTTGCTTTCTTTTGTGCGTTGGGATATGATTAATGGTCTGATCTCGTAGCCAACGGAGGCAGTCATAATTTATTTGATTAGATCTTTGTCCGCTCAGGCCAGAGGTAGGTATCATGATAATTAGTTGCGAATTTTGTGGTTTTTTATTGGGCTTACCTGTTTGCCAAAAATAACAGCAGAAAGAGGCGTCACAGTGCGCAAAAAGAGTTAATGCCCATTCACAGTTATAACGGATGCACTTGGGCGTTGACGTGCAACGTCGTCATCTGTCTGCCGTTGTCATTGTGGCTGTTAACAAGCATCCATCCAACCGCTTGGCTACGAAAAATTGCTCATTGTAGTCGTTCTCGGAGCCTGGCACACACGGCGCGCCGCTCAATGTCATGGGAGCCGTTCAGCAGAAGCGGCAGCAGCAGCAGCAGCAACAGCAGTCGCATCATCATCATCATCTACATCAGCATCCCCACATCGGTTTCGCACATCTTTACTCGCACGCCTTTAATTGTTGCAACGCTGGGGCTGCTGTTCCCTCCCTTCCCTAAGTTGAGTGCATGTGCTGCTGCTTATTGTGACGCCGCCGACGCCTGTCAATTGATAAAAGTAGCAGCCGCATAGTGGCAGAGATACACAGGTAGCAGGCAGAGGCGTAGGCAAAAGTGCAGGAGGGGCAACAAGCGGCGGAGGAGGCAGCAACCGACGACAGCGACTGGCGGCTGAATCTATTGTTTAGCAAGGCCGTTAGCGTTGCATGGCGTGAAGCGAGCAATTGAAAACTTAAAACAACATAGAACCTCCACAACTAGCAGATGATGATGATGATGAGGGAGTGCGGGGCTGCGGTGCTGCTGGCTGGGGGCGGTGGTGGCTCGATACGTATCTGCCCATAACAATTCTCAGCCAAACTTGAACTTGACAGCCGTCTGCCTTGCGTTCACACCTTCCTGCAGGGTCGCAGAGCACTTCGAGTGGCTTTTCACGGACTCCATTGTGAGGCTCATTAAGCAGGCACAAGAAAAAAATTAAAAATTGGTCGTAAATGAGGAAATTAAGAAAACGCAAAGGTTATTTTTCGAGAGCGGTCAGCAATACTTGGCGATCGATAGTTGTTTTTGTAGCTCAAAGCAGTGTTGGTAAAGGTGCATTTTAATTCACTCAAGTATCGGCATAAAAGAAAGAACAAATATATCGCAAATTCTATTTAATATATATATAATATTTATATATATATACCTCTCGCTCTCTCTGCATGTTTTCAACCACACACTTTTTGCTGATCGCACAGTCTCCAATTGAAGTAAGTGTAGCAATCAAACGGAACATGCAAATGTGTTGTACAAGAAACGCCTGCAATGGTAGTTTAAAAATAAAGCGCTTTTGCATAACAACAAATGAAAAACGGTTTAACAAGTAATAAATTTGAAGTAATCGGATAATTGTATCAACTTATATTGGTGTTGGTAAACCAACCGATCTAGATGCAAATCGATAATGGAATAATTGCAGAAAATGTAGTAGGAAAATAGAGTTGGCAGTTTTGGTTCAACTTGCTGAGGTAGTTCACGAACTTGAGTTTAGTCGTGGAGTAAATGCATTCATTTGCTAACTTAAGGAGTAGTTAAAAATAATTTGAGCAACTTTGGGAAGTTTTTAGATTAATTTAACCATGCACAAACAATTTTACGGCGCATTTACATGTCTCTTTACATTCCGTGGTTCATATGAACCGTTCACGTGAACATGTTCTGAGCGGAACTGCGCATCGCAATTGGAAAGCAAATTGGAATTATTGGAATACTGGAAGAAGTAGCCGCCATTTAATGACTATATTGGATATACAAAAACCACTGCGTAGGAAATCAAATTAAACCAAATACAAAAATAGAGGTATCCACTTGTACCTACACACATATGTACAATTGTACATAAAGCAGCAGCAATGCGACAAATGTGTATGTGCAAATGTGTGAATATAGAAGAAACTAGTTTTAATTCATTTTTGCTGGAGCACAAAAAGGTCTTAAGTGACAAACGTGTTTCCCAGAGCCTATATCTAATGTTTGTAACACTCGAGCGGGCAGAAACAGACAGACGCCGCTGCCGCTGCCGCTGCCGCTGTCGGCATCCGAGAGTTTTGGCTAAGAAAATATGGCAAACGGCAAACAACTTTTGTTTTGTTAAAAGTAAAATCAGCCAAGTGTAACAATTAAGTGGCGGCAAAACAACGCCAGCAACAGGCACCTGGCAGAGGCACACTACACTGGGCGCTGTGAATGTTCGTATGGAATGGCTTTAGCCTGGTACGATCGCATCGTGCCCATATGGACCACATCGTGGCGTGGTTGAGAAATCTACTAAATCGCTGTCTCCCTCTCGCGCGGAAGAAGAATCTCGCTCTGTTTGGTGCTGCCGGTGCTACGCCTGCTACGTTTTCTGTATCTAATTTGAATTTAAATTAGTTTAAACCTGATTGTGCCCCTGCCGCCACCTGTCCCCGTAGTTGTGGTGCTTGCAGCGAAGGTTGCCATTAGGGGGAATTGGGGTTAAGCTGCAGGTTTCCTCTGACTTTTGTGCGTGTAATTAAACTAACACTACAATTTTTTTGTTTGTCCCACACAGGTACATTCACAATATTCACAACAACCGCAACGTATCCAGACAAATTTGAGAAAGAACAGTCGATTTCGTGGCGAGGTATTCTTCCTGAATCTAGAGGATGGCTACTTTGGATGCCAAGTCAACGAGTCGACAGACTATTTGCAATTATACGAACTATCGAAACTATGCGACGGCAATCAAGACTGCTATCTTGGTTCCGATGAGCAAAACAAAGAGCTCAAATGCACAAGTAAGTAAACCAGAAACAGAAATGTTTATCTTTTGTTTTGGATTGTCTAACTTAATGTTTCAATCTCTCTCTGTCTCCTGTTTAGATGACTGTGATAAGGACGGCACAGTGTGCACACATGGCGCGTGTTTGAATGGCGTCTGCCATTGCAACGATGGCTATGGCGGCTGCAATTGCGTTGACCTAGGTGAGTGGCTTCTGGCGTCTGGGGCTTCTTCTCCTTTTACATAACCGTTACCAAATCTCTTTTCAGATGAGAACGAATGCAAACAGCATCCATGCGATGTGTTTGCCCATTGCACAAACACATTGGGCAGCTATACGTGTACCTGCTTTCCGGGCTATCGTGGCAATGGTATTCATTGTGAAGGTAAGTGCCAGTCCCCGTCCACAGCTCCACAGTTTCTTTGTATTTGTTGGCATAATGATGGTCCAGCCAACAAATGATTGTTGTTGCCGTTTTGTACTTCCGTCAACGTCGTCGTCGTCGTCTCGCTTCTTGGCCCAGACTTTAGGCCAGGCAGCACTTTGGGATAACGGTTAATAGCAAGTCTCAAGTGCCAGCCTCCAAAGCCAAAGAAAATGTAACAAAAGACGCGCCAAACAATAATATGAAAAGCTTTTCTCAGACGCCACGAACTGTGGGTTCTCTGAGATTAGAGTATACTTATCTGCGAGGTAATAATAATGACCGTGTAGCGATTACACTTGAGTGCCGCCTCCACCCCGCTAGACATGGTTGCAACAGCAGTTGCAGCAAACTTAGGGTTACACGATTTCAACGATCGCACATGCACAGTCGCAAATAGTACAGATTAAGCTCTGGAAGAATCAGAGTTACGAAATATCTTCATCAGTTTACGTTGATCTGTATCCTGTGTAGAGTCATTTCGTTTGCTCGTTATGCTCACAGCAGGATCCCGAAAAAAACCTTCGAAAAGCCCAAGCCCACCTGTTCCCTCTAATCAAGAACCGGCTGCTGTAATTGGACCTGCCTCTAATGTTACCTAATAAAAAGCCATCAAAAAACAGCCAGAAAGAAGAGCAGAAATAAGAACTAGAAAAAAGTGTAAAGAACGTACAGAGGGTCTTTCTTCTCTTCTGAGACGATTCCTATAGATGACGATAGTAATAATGATGATGCTGCTGCTTCTTCAGATGATGATGATGATAATGATGTTCGTTGTGGTTGAGAAGAGAATAAGGAGAGAAATCCAAAACAATAAAAAGCCACAGACACATGTAGCAATGCTTTCGCGCCATGCAACATATACTACACATAGAAGATGTCTGTTAGAAGTGGAGGAATCAGTGTCATGTAATCTGACCCCAAACATGGACACGCCAGAACTTTCAACACTCTGGAGAGGGATAGTATGAGAGAGCACCATGTGTGCACTAACACTCCGACAGTACCCCACTAAGTATGAAGACGTTGCCAAGATTCTAGATTACATGTGACGACTGCTGCTGCTGCTGCTACTCTGCGTCTCTTCAGTAAAAGCGGGCAGGCATGCATAAATTCTGAGCCAGCGATGTGTAACGCCAGCATCGCATTTCAGTCATTTCAGTCGGCATTATCTAATTCTTTTCTATAGAAACTTTTTCGCATATTATGCATGATCCCATGATCATGGAGATCATGATGATGATTGGGATGCACGTTGCATTGGGGACAGGGGCCTTGGCCTCCGTCTCTTGCTGTGGCTTTGCCCTGCTCTAGCTCTGGACTTATCCAGAACCACGTCAAATTGTCTGTAATCATCTGAATTAGTTTTAAATATGCTGGGAAAGTTTTCAGCGGTCTGCACATGTGCGTGGAATAGATGCACCTTCATCAGGGGCACGCACACGTAGTGCGTTCCCAGCGAGTCTGACGGGAGAAAAGAGCGCGAGTGCTCCTAAACACACAATTAAATGTTGATGTAGTGCCAGTAGTCAGGTTTTATAATTATAGATTTGAGGTTTAATTTATTTAAGACCATCAGATTGAGATTGCGATTGAGATTGAGCGTTTCCCCTATGAATATTTTACTAGTGGCATAATATAGGGAGCAGTTGTTTTCTCTTGAGCTTCCCCGTTGACGCCCCGTTTCGATAAGAAATGGCAGTCAGATTCCCCTAAGAGTCGCCCAAACAAAGTTCACAAACTTTAACAATAGTTTGACAGCCACACAGCAGTCGTTTTTCCCACAAATTGTGAATCATAGTTCCTGACTGTGGGAAAACGGAATTCCAAATTTTGAGGAAACCCTAATCTTCATTTAATTTCTATTATTTCGCACTTTAGCTTGAGTGTAGTATTTTTACTGTTTTCAACGATATTTGGGTCTTGAACTGTCTCTCAAATATGCAGCAAAAGTGTGCCATTACACGAACAAATGTTTCATTAACTTCTGTTCATATATTCTTCCGTTAAAAACAACACGCCAGAGCACACCTCTGTTCTCTTCCCATGTTCTTCCGTTTAAAAACTACACCCAGATCTCAACTCTATAAGTGTAAAAGGAAGTAGTACTCCCCTCTATCTTGCGACACCATTCAATCCACAAATGTGTCCCCCAATGTTATGTAAATCCAGTTTTGCATCAAGTTCACCCAATAAACTTTGCAACAAATCACATTGCCGTCGTATTGGTCTTGGCCTGACAAACCTACTCTACGCTCTTTGGCTTAGAGACACATTTTGCGTCGAATGGAGGCACCAGGCACAGAGTCACCAGTCGCCAGCCAGCAGCCCCTCCAGTATATTTATGTACCTGTTTTCCTGTTTAGTATTTGGTTGGTTTTTTTTTTTCATGCCTCTAACGGTAGTTGGTGGCAACACCTGTTTTTAGACTCGATGGCGCATTATTTCATGTTCATAACTCAAATGCGTTCGATGCCAGCAATGGCTATGCCGATGGCGATGGCACGGCGCTGGCTTCGTTAACGCATCGCAAAAGTCCAGTTATGCAATGACTATTGAAAAATGATATATCCACACGCACACAGTCGTAAAGTCGCCCCACAGATAGAGACCTATATCTGGCATATCGATCCTTCTAATGCATTTGTCTTGCAGCCACGGCAACACTCTGTGTGCAATAAATGGAAAGAGCCTCTCGAGTAGAGTGCTAAAATTTATATCCAAAGACAACAAGGAAAAAACACATACAATAATAGTGAAGAATACCCTAGCTGAGAGTGTAGTATGATTTTAACTGGATGTTAGAGACGCAGAGAACGTAGCTTATGGTATCTCGTAAATAAAAAAAATTTAGCTTTGATGCTTAGATCGGGTCAGTAATAAATGCTATTCGTACTGGATTTTCTGTGCAGTCTCATATAGTTTCCCTTTAATTTCTAGTCTTTCCGAAAGGGTAGCCAAAGCTTTTGCTATTGGATTTGTCCGCTCGAGCCGAACGATCGTTTGCGCTGGCCGCCACGTTCACTGGCAGGCAGGCAGGCGGCTGCTCCCTTTCGTTTCGCTAACTGGGGCAGATCATTAAAACGGATAAAATAGATTGTGCCCACGTAGCAACGCCGTCACAGTCGCGATCACCAGCAGCAGCAGCAGCAGCACCAGCAACGGCTCCAGGTCTGTGGCGGTAGCATTGTCGGCGCTTAATGCCGCCGCCTGTCCTCAAAAGCCGCAAACGGCACTGCCTCCAATGTGGGACTCGGTCCTCCCCCCCTACCTTCATTGTGCGGGACTCCCGATTGCCACCAACCTCAACATCAACTCCAGGGCGGATTTCAATCCGTCGTCGTCGTCGTCTTTAAGGCTGGGCAACACAGCAGTTTGAGATCAACGTCAGATGATAAGCTCCGGATTTTTTTACACCATACGAGTGCTATATCTTTTTTTTGTTTGGTGCAGAACATACTAGTCGTCGATTGTCGGCGGTGGCTTCTTATTATTTTTAGTCTTATTTTTTTTGTAGTTACTTTACACTTTTTGCATATCAAAATGGCAGCAATTAATTCTCGTGTCGAAGCCGGCGCGCTGATAAGGCATGAAAATGGCTTTGAGCGTCGGCATTGACACGCCTAATTATATGAGCGTGTATTTGCCACATTTACGTACAAATGAGGGGCGTATCCACCAAACAGAAAAAGCCACCCATGGATATGGCTCCAGCTCTAGCTCTGGCTCGTAGTAGTCCCAGCCCCAGATCCGGCTGACATCACTTTGAGACTCGACCTTGATCTTAGAGCATATACTTAGTTTATGGAAAAACTTGACGCATAATTGCGTAACAAATTGTTAACTAATTTTGGTTTTCTTTATTATGATTTCTTCTTTTTTTCCCCCTTTTTGCTTTGCTCGAGTTCAAGTTCAGAGATTATATTTTTTGTTGGATTCGCTTTATTACGATTTATTCGAGCTGCTAATCATTGCCTGGCAGTGGAGCATGAAAGTCATGTCCGCTCGTAAATTTTATCTCTCTTCTATGTGTGTAGCTATAGTCAGTCGCATGTGGTTTTCGGATGCACTGAAAAATCATGGCACGAATGTCATAACTCAAATTGCACTGGATGCTAATTAAGTCCACAATTACACAATTTATTAGATAGAAGTCAGACAGAGTAGTTTATCTCATGTGCATATTAGATCAGTTGCAGAGTAGATTTTTGCAATTGTCTGATTGGTAATTAGTTTTAATTACACCAGCGCCATGGAGCAAGGTAAAAGGGGTCCAAAGGTTGGGGAAAACGCTCTGCCCCCAGTGAGATAACTTCCGTTTTGCCAAAATCTGCAACAAAATATAAAATTAAATCATTAATTAAATCCGTACTCAATTATTTATCTACGATTTCCTTGGGTGCAGGCAATTCTCTGCGTGTATATAGAAAGTATAGATAGAAAATGATATAATACTTATAAAATAATCATCTAAGCATTTCCCTTGTCGTGTTTGTGTGTATATTTAATGACCCGATATCACCGCATTTTAAAATGCCATTTGAAAGAAATCTTGTTCTGACGATTATGGTTAGCATTTGGAGAGTCAAACTGGACAGGAAATCTGAGAAGAAGCATAGCTTGGGGAATTATGTCAGCAACATCTCAGGCGATCATTAGGTCTAATCACATTGAGTCACGCATCTATTTGATTGCTTTTAAATCGGTCAAATGTGGCCAGAACCCACGCATACTGCCCAAAAACCTAGAAAACTAGCAAATTTGTGAACATTATTCTTAGATTTGTATGATCTGAGAGGAGGTAAACATTAAATTTACACTCGTAGTCCAACAGAGAGACCAACAAGCTGTAAAAAAATCAGAGCTGGCAGTAGAGACTCAACGGGGCATGCTGCTAAGTTCATTAGACAGCCTTTGGTCAATGGCCTAACTCTGTCTCTGGCTCTGTCTCGGACCCAGTCTCGTGGTCTCGAGATGAGGAACGGCATGGCGTGGGGACCTGCTGCTGTCGACTTGCAGTCGCATTGCATAAAGTAATTAAACTGACATTGAAACTTAGAAGAACATAGAATGCTTCCTGCTTCTGGAAAAGTTCTGGACTCCTGCACAGCATGGGTATGGCAGTTGGTAGATGGCAGATGGCAGTGGAGACTACTCGGTAGTCTACGAGGATGATGACATTGAGTAATCAGAGTTTGCAATTGCCACAAACATGGAATGCTGTCATATCAGTTGGTTGTTAAGAGCAAAGACCAGTTTGGGCCGTACCCCGCCACACGGAGGAGTGATGATCCTCTTAATTTATAAGCTAAAAACTAGTAATTATAACTGAACGACCAACTCGTTCTCGTTGTTGTAATTATAAGGCACCCAAACACACTGTACCCATACCCATTCCCTGCTATCTATGTATCTGCAGTCCTCGTCCTTGTCTTTGCCTTTTGCCAACTTTTGTACTTATGTCATATTAGCTATAAATGTACAACTTTTGCTTAATCGCCAGGGTCTCTGATGATTAATGGGCCCAGATTGCGGTCCCAGTGAACGGCTGCAGTCTCGTAGTCGGTCTGGTTCAATCCAGCTGTATTCGCCGCTTCATTGGCTCCGCGTCTCTCTCTCTCTCTCGCTGGCCATATTCAATTCTCGATACGATGCGCTGCGCTGCGCGCTATTGGAGCAGAAAGCTCTATTCCACAGCTCATTCTCCTCCTCCTCCTTCTTCCGCCAACATGAAAGGTTAGATTGGATTGAGCCTTTTGCAATTTGATAATTCTGGTGAATGTAGAAATCGATTCTTATTGAGAAATGTTATAGATTAAGATTACAATCAAGAGATTTGTTCTTTCTCCGAAAGCCTTAATTTCTATGATTTCTTGGTGTAGATATCAGTGGCTATAAGAGATGCAAGAGCCCTCAGTTTTGGTAGTAATCATAAGCTAACTTCAAATTCCAAATAAACATTAACATTGACCACATACTCGAGCTAGTAGTCGTGTTCGTATCCAATTGATATGAAAATGTATGCAACTGGTGCATCCTGTGCTTTGACATTGTCATCGTGAAGCTTCCACCAGCGCGAATGACACTGAAATGTCATGCGTAATATGCAAATCTCGATGGCATACATTGCCACACGGCTACAGCTGCTACTCCATGTCCGATTCCCGGCGACTGTGAATGCGAGCAAAGCGCGCATTCAAGCGGCAAAATGCGTAGAGGAGACCTGAATTCAGAGCCAGAGGTAGAACCAGAGCTAGAACACGTCTCTTGGATTGTGCCGCCTGCCTGAGTGGGGAGGCATGCAATAAATAAGTTGGAAGGTGGAAGATAATGTACTGCGTTTGGATTTTAATTACTTGTCATTTATTGCGTAGCATCTTCGATTAATCACGGTCCGCACGGTCGTTTGTTCCCTTACTTGCAGACATTGACGAATGCCAAGATCCCGCGATAGCAGCGCGATGCGTGGAGAATGCCGAGTGCTGTAATCTGCCGTCGCACTTCCTGTGCAAGTGCAACGATGGGTACGAGGGCGATGGTGAAGTGCTCTGTACGGATGTGGACGAGTGCCGCAATCCGCAGGCCTGCCCCCCGAATGCCCAGTGCATCAATACGCCAGGAAATTACACCTGTGCCTGTCCCGAAGGCTTTGTGGGCACCGATCCCTACAAAGACTGTCAGGACGTGGACGAGTGCACATATCCGAATGTCTGCGGACCCGGTGCCATATGTACGAATCTCGCGGGCAGTTATCGCTGCGACTGCCCGGTGGGATACGACGGCGATGGACGCGCCGACCAAGGATGCGTGGACCAGGACGAGTGTGCTCGATCTCCCTGTGGCCGCAATGCCAATTGTTTAAATAATGATGGTAGCTTCCGCTGCCTGTGCCCCGATGGCTACAGCGGGGATCCCATGCATGGTTGCGAGGGTGAGTGTAGTAGACAGTTTAGCAACTTAAACATCATTTGACATTTACCATTTTGATTGTTTTTTGCACTTTTGTTTGTTTTTGAAATGGCGGCACCTACAAAATTCCAACACATCCACACAAACGCATCACACACAAAACATACCAACATTAATGCACCGCAAAACGCTACATTAATACCAAAAAAAAAAACCAAAATATAATACCAGATGTCGATGAATGCGCCACTAACAATCCATGCGGTTCGGGTGCTGAATGCGTGAACATGGGCGGGAGCTATCAATGTCGTTGTCCCCTCGGCTTTGTCCTCGAGCACGATCAGAACGCAGAGCCACCTGTTGACCTCCTGCCACTGGGCTATGGCCAAGGGGACGCCGATATACAGACGGCGGTGGTCACATCGGGCGCGGGTTTAGCCTGCCTGGACATCGATGAGTGCAACCAGCCGGATGGTTTGGCGAAGTGTGGCACCAACGCCAAATGCATTAACTTTCCGGGCTCATATCGATGTCTGTGTCCGAGTGGATTCCAAGGACAGGGCTACTTGCATTGCGAGAGTTAGTATTTATTGCCTGCTTTAGATATGCTTTGACCCCCAAGGCTACATTTTCAGTATTATTAGTTTTTGGTGAAAAATAGTAAATAGCAAAGAAAATACCATATCAACAGCTGCTTAGACCAAACTAAAATACTGAAACTGAAGCTGTGACCACTAACCAAATAGTAACCAATAAGTAAATATACTATTTGGTTAGTGCTGTGACCTAATTACAAACCCACGTGATTTGCAAAATATCCGAGGAGACAAAACACTCTTATGGACTTGCAGATTTTGTGGGTGTGTTTCCTTCTAAAATTCCCAACCGTTCCCACACCCGCTATTTGCCTCTAAAGCTGTTTTTTTACGCAAGCTTAAAGCCTAGCTTTTTTTGCTTTTCGAGCAGTTGCAATGCTTTTCAGACAGCTTCCTCCTTGAAACCTACTTTAGTCCTCCCTTCAACCACTATCCCTTCTATATCAACATCCCGCTCCTGCTCCCCCACTTCACGCTGTACGCTCCCTCGCCTATCTATCATCCAATTTTGTATTGTTTTTGAATACTAATTTAATTAATTTATAAATATATTTAACCCAATCCCCCCAAAACCTCCACCACCACAACCCGCCAATGAACCAAACACGCGTTTGCCCCCAAACACCTTGCCCCTTGCGATCGATGCAGACATCAACGAGTGTCAGGACAATCCGTGCGGCGAGAATGCCATCTGCACGGACACCATTGGAAGCTTCGTGTGCACCTGCAAACCGGACTACACTGGCGATCCCTTCCGCGGCTGTGTGGACATTGACGAGTGTGCCGCCCTGGACAAACCCTGCGGGCAGCATGCACAGTGCGAAAACACTGTCCCTGGATACAACTGCAAGTGTCCGCAGGGCTACGATGGCAAGCCAGATCCCAAGGTAGCCTGCGAGCAGGTGGATGTGAACATCCTGTGCCGCAGTAACTTTGATTGCACCAACAATGCGGAGTGCATTGAGAACCAGTGCTTCTGTTTGGACGGCTTCGAGCCCATTGGCGCCAGTTGTGTGGACATCGACGAGTGTCGTACACACGCAGAGGCTTGCGGACAGCATGCCCAGTGCCTGAACACGCCCGGTTCGTATCGGTGCGACTGTGAGGCCGGCTATGTGGGCAGTCCCCCGAGAATGGCTTGCAAGCAGCCCTGCGAGGATGTTCGCTGTGGGCCTCATGCCTACTGCAAACCGGACCAGAACGAGGCCTACTGTGTCTGCGAGGAGGGATGGACCTACAATCCCAGTGATGTGGCCGCCGGTTGTGTGGACATTGACGAATGCGATGAGCTGCATGGACCCTTTGGCAGCTGTGGCCAGAATGCCACCTGCTCCAACACCGCTGGCGGCTACTCGTGCGCCTGTCCGCCTGGATACTCTGGAGATCCGCACAGCAAGTGCGTGGATGTGGACGAATGCCGGACCGGCAGTAAGTGCGGATCGGGTGCCGAGTGCGTAAATATGCCCGGAGGCGGCTACACCTGTCGCTGCCCCGAGCACACCATTGCCGATCCCGATCCCAGTGTACGCTGCGTACCCATCGTGAGCTGCACGACCAATGAGAATTGCCCCGGAAATGCTATCTGTGATGAAACGAAGCGTTGCCTCTGCCCGGAACCAAATATAGGCAACGATTGCCGGCATCCGTGCGAAACGCAGGACTGTGGAGCCCATGCCCAGTGCATGCTGGCCAATGGTCAGGCGCAGTGCCTCTGCGCACCCGGATACACCGGAAATGCTGCGCTACCCGGCGGCTGCAACGACATCGACGAGTGTCGGGCCAATCCATGTGCCGAGAAAGCCATTTGCACGAACACAGCGGGTGGATATCTGTGCCAGTGTCCGGGCGGATCATCGGGCGATGCTTACCGCGAAGGCTGTGCCACATCCAAGAGTGTGGGCTGCTCCGAGGCAAATCCATGTGCTGCTGGAGAGAGCTGCGTGCAGGATTCGTACACCGGAAACAGTGTCTGCATCTGCCGACAGGGCTACGAACGTAATCCGGAGAACGGCCAGTGCCAGGATCTAGACGAGTGCTCGGCGCTGCGCGGCAAGTCAGCCTGTGGACTGAATGCTCTGTGCAAGAACCTGCCTGGAAGCTATGAGTGCCGTTGCCCGCAGGGCCACACCGGCAACCCCTTCATCATGTGCGAGATCTGCAGTACCCCTGAGTGCCAGTGCCAGGCGCCCTACAAGCTTCTGGGCAACGCCTGCGTTCTCGCGGGCTGCTCCAGTGGCGGCCAGGCTTGCCCCAGTGGCGCGGAGTGCATCTCCATTGCCGGTGGCGTGAGCTACTGTGCCTGCCCCAAGGGATACCAGACGCAACCGGACGGCACCTGTACGGATGTCAACGAGTGCGAGGAGCGCGGCACGCAGCTCTGTGCTTTTGGGGCTCAGTGCGTGAATCAGGCCGGAGGCTACACATGCCACTGCCCCGATGGCTACCTGGGAGATGCCTACAACGGACTCTGTGCTCCTGCCCAAAGGAAATGCGCTGCGGACAAGGAGTGCGCCAGCAACGAGAAGTGCATCCAGCCGGGAGAGTGTGTCTGCCCGCCGCCGTACTTCCTCGATCCTCAGGATAACAACAAGTGCAAGAGCCCCTGCGAGCGATTCCCCTGCGGCATCAATGCCAAGTGTACGCCCTCGGATCCCCCGCAATGCATGTGCGAGGCGGGCTTCAAGGGCGATCCACTGCTCGGGTGCACGGACGAGGATGAGTGCGCCCATCTGCCATGCGCCTATGGCGCCTACTGTGTCAACAAGAAGGGCGGATATCAGTGTGTTTGCCCCAAGGGCTTCACCGGAGACCCATACAAAAGCGGCTGCATCTTTGAGAATGGAACGCCAAAGAGCAAGTGCCTCAGCAACGATGATTGCGCGAGTAATTTGGCCTGCTTGGACGGCAGTTGTCTCAGTCCCTGCGCCAGTCTCCTGTGCGGTTCAAATGCCTACTGCGAGACGGAACAGCATGCGGGATGGTGTCGCTGTCGCGTTGGTTTCGTCAAGAATGCCGATGGCGAGTGCGTCTCCCAGTGCCAGGATGTGATTTGCGGCGAAGGAGCCCTGTGCATACCCACCAGCGATGGACCCACCTGCAAGTGTCCGCAGGGACAGCTGGGTAATCCCTTCCCCGGCGGCAGCTGCAGCACGGATCAGTGCACAGCCTCCCGACCCTGCGACGAACGTCAGATCTGCATCAATGGACGCTGCAAGGAGCGTTGCGATGGCGTCGTCTGCGGCATTGGAGCCACTTGCGACAAGAACAATGGAAAGTGCGTTTGCGAACCGAACTTTGTCGGCAATCCCGATCTCCTGTGCATGCCACCCATCGAGATGGCCAAGTGTTCACCGGGATGTGGAGACAATGCCCATTGCGAGTACGGATTGGGACAGAGCCGATGTGCCTGCAATCCAGGAACCTATGGCAATCCCTACGAGGGCTGTGGTGCCCAGAGCAAGAATGTCTGCCAGCCGAATAGCTGTGGCCCCCATGCGGAATGTCGCGCTGTTGGCAACCACATCACGTGCCTCTGTCCGCAGGGCTTCAGTGGCAATCCCCATGTGGGTTGCCAGGACGTCAACGAATGCACAAACAAACCTTGCGGCCTGAATGCCGCCTGCCTCAACACCGCTGGAGGCTTTGAATGCCTTTGTCTGTCCGGACATGCCGGCAATCCCTACAGCAGCTGTCAGCCGATCGAGAGCCGATTCTGCCAGGATGCCAACAAGTGTCAGTGCAACGAGCGAGTGGAGTGCCCCGAAGGCTACAGCTGCCAGAAGGGACAGTGCAAGAACCTGTGCTCCAAGGCTGCCTGTGGACCACGTGCCATCTGCGATGCTGGAAAGTGTCTCTGCCCCATGGGCTACATCGGCGATCCGCACGATCTCAGCGAGGGTTGCAGCGTACGCGGGCAGTGTGGCAACGATGCCGACTGCCGTCACACGGAGATCTGCTTCCAGCTGGGCAGAGGTCTGCGCAAGTGCGTGGATGCCTGCTCTAAGATCCAGTGTGGTCCCAATGCCCTCTGTGTGGCCGACGATCATCGCTCGTCGTGCATCTGCTCTGACGGTTTCTTTGGCAATCCAAGCAATCTTCAAGTTGGCTGCCAGCCGGAACGTACGATACCCGAACTGGAGGACAAATGCAAGACAGATAAGGACTGCGAGCGCGGTTTTGGCTGCCAGACATCGTCAGCCCATGGCATTAGGGAGTGCATCAATCTCTGCACGAATGTGGTCTGCGGACCGAACGAGCTGTGCAAGATTAATCCCGCCGGACATGCCAACTGCAATTGTGCCGAGAGCTTTGTGTGGAATCCGGTGGTCTCCTCGTGTGAGAAGCCATCGCTGCCCGACTGCACCAGCGATGCCAACTGTCCGGATGCCTCTGCCTGCCGTCCCGATGTCCTGGGCGTGCTTAAGTGCGTGGCCATCTGTGATGCCTTCACCTGTCCGGCCAATGCCATTTGTGTGGCGCGTCAGCACCAGGGACGTTGCGATTGTCTGAATGGTTTTGTGGGCAATCCCAACGATAGAAATGGCTGCCAGCCGGCGCAGAAGCATCAGTGCCGCAGCCATGCCGAGTGCCAGGAGTCGGAGGCCTGCATCAAGGATGAGGCCACCCAAACGCTGAGCTGTCGTCCGGCCTGTGAATCGGTCAAGTGCGGCCCTCGTGCCGTCTGCATCACGAACAACCATCAGGCACAGTGCCAGTGTCCGCCTGGACCGTTTGCCGGTGATCCGTACGATCCATTCAACGGCTGCCAGAGCGTGCCGTGCGTCTACAATCATGACTGTCCCACCACCCAAATGTGCAATCGGATGACCCACACCTGCTTCGATGTCTGCGACGAGGAGTCGTGTGGCGAGAATGCCATCTGCTTGGCCGAGGATCATCGCGCCGTGTGCCAGTGCCCGCCCGGGTTCCGTGGCGACCCGCTTCCCGAGGTGGCATGCACCAAACAGAGCGGCTGTGCTGCCGGAACCTGTCATCCATCTGCCATTTGTGAGGTCACACCCGAAGGACCCATCTGCAAGTGTCCACCACACTTTGTGGGCGATCCCAAGAGCGCGGGCTGCCGTCCAGACGGACAGTGTCCCAATGGTGATGCCGATTGTCCAGCGAACACAATTTGCGCAGGCGGAAGGTGCCAGAATCCATGCGATAATGCCTGCGGATCGAATGCCGAGTGCAAAGTGGTTAACCGAAAGCCCGTCTGCAGCTGTCCGCTGCGCTTCCAACCGATCTCCGACACGGCCAAGGACGGATGCGCCCGTAGCGCCTCCAAGTGCTTAACCGACGTGGACTGCGGCGGAGAGCTGTGCTTCAATGGCCAGTGCCGCATTGCGTGCCGCAACTCGCAGGACTGCTCCGACGGCGAGAGCTGTCTGAACAACGTCTGTGTGGTGGCGTGCCTGGACCACAGCCAGTGCGGCCAAGGCCTGGCTTGCGTTGAGGGTCACTGCACCATCGGCTGTCGCAGCAACAAGGAGTGCAAGCAAGACCAGTCCTGCATCGAGAACAAGTGCCTCAATCCCTGCCAGTCCGGCAACAGCTGCGGCCCCAATGCCCTCTGCAGCATTGCCCAGCATCGCAGTCAGTGCAGCTGCCCGGAGGGATTCGAGGGAAATCCCACCCCCGAACAGGGTTGCGTCCGAGTACCCGCACCCTGTTTGGCGAGCAATCAATGCCCCAACGGACACATGTGCATCGGCAACCAGTGCAATCTGCCATGCAGCAAGACCTCCTCCTGCGCGATTGGAGAGCGCTGCTACCAGCAGGTGTGCCGCAAGGTCTGCTACACCAGCAACAACTGTCTGGCCGGAGAGATTTGTAATGCGGATCGCACCTGCCAGCCAGGTTGCGAGTCCGATGCGGATTGCCCACCCACAGAGCTGTGCCTCACCGGAAAGTGCAAGTGCGCCGTCGGATTTATTGGCACGCCCTTTGGCTGCTCGGACATTGATGAGTGCACGGAACAGCCGTGCCATGCCAGTGCCAGGTGCGAGAATGTCCCTGGATCCTATCGCTGTGTGTGTCCCGAGGGCACCGTCGGCGATGGCTACACCAAGCAGGGTTGCTCCCAGGGCCGTCAATGCCATCAACCAGATGATTGTGCCAACAACTTGGCCTGCATCTCTGGCAAGTGCACAGATCCGTGCCTGCAGACCGTGTGCGGATCCAATGCCCTTTGCCAGTCCGAGGGACATGAGGCACAGTGCAGCTGTCCCGCTGGATATTTGGGTGATCCGAATGATACAGGAGTCGGCTGCTTCAAGGTGGAGTGCATCGATCATGTGGATTGTGCCAGCGATCGTGCCTGCGATGCGGAGACCAATCGCTGCATCAAACCATGCGACCTAACCGGCTGCGGCAAAGGAAACTGCGAGGTGTCCGACCACAAGGCCGTCTGTGTCTGCTACGAGGGATACCAGCTGGTCAGCGGAGGAGTCTGCGAGGATGTCAACGAATGTTTATCCCAGCCATGCCACAGCACAGCCTTTTGCAACAATCTGCCGGGAAGCTACAGCTGCCAGTGCCCGGAGGGACTCATTGGAGATCCCCTACAGGCCGGCTGCCGTGATCCCAGCGAATGCCTCAGCGATGTCGATTGTCCCGTCACCGCCAGCTGCCAGAACTCTCGATGCCGCAGTCCCTGCGAACGTCAGAACGCGTGCGGCATCAATGCCAATTGTCAGGCCCAGAGCCACCAAGCCGTGTGCACCTGCTCAGCAAATTCACGCGGAGATCCTCTCGTCGAGTGCGTACACATCGAGTGCTCTGACAACGACGACTGTTCCGGCGACAAGGCCTGTCTAGATGCCAAATGTATTGATCCCTGCTCCCTGCCCAATGCCTGCGGAGCCCAGGCTCTCTGTTCGGTCCAGAATCACATTGGAGTATGCGCCTGCGAGTCGGGCAGCACCGGAGATGCCAAACAGGGATGTGTGCCACTGCAATACTGTCAACAGGATGCACAGTGCGCACAGGGAAGCATTTGCTCGCATGGCATCTGCAGTCCACTCTGCAGCACCAATCGGGATTGTATTTCGGAGCAGCTTTGCCTTCAGGGTGTCTGCCAGGGCACCTGTAAATCCAATACGACCTGTCCCCAGTTCCAGTTCTGCTCAAACAACATTTGCACCAAGGAGCTGGAGTGCGGCGCCAACACAGATTGTGGCGAGGACGAGACATGCCTCATGGATGCGTACGGACGAGCACGCTGTGAGCCGGTTTGCCTGGGCCGTGCCGCCTGTGGCCGCAATGCCGAGTGTGTGGCTCGCTCCCATTCTCCGGATTGTATTTGTAAGGATGGATTCTTTGGGGATGCCAAGTCGGGCTGCCGCAAGATCGAGTGTAACAGCGACGAGGATTGCTCGAACGACAAGAGCTGCGACAATCACATGTGCAAGATCGCCTGCCTTATTGGCCAGCCCTGTGGGGAAAATGCTCTCTGCACCACGGAACACCATCAGCAGGTGTGCCACTGCCAGCCCGGCTTCAGTGGCGATCCCCGCGTGCGTTGCGATGTCATTGACTTTTGTCGGGATGCTCCGTGCGGACCCGGTGCCCGTTGCCGGAACTCGCGCGGCTCCTATAAGTGTAGCTGTCCCCCCGGCCTCGTTGGTGACCCTTATAACGAGGGCTGTCGCAGCTCCGTGGAGTGCGAGACCAACGAGGATTGTCCCCCGCATGCTGCATGTACGAAAACTAACGGCGTGGCCAAGTGCCACGATGTCTGCGCCCAGCTGCAGTGTGGCCCCAATGCGGAATGTGTTCCGAAGGGCCACATCGCACAGTGTGCATGCCGCATGGGCTATGACGGCCAACCCGCTGACCGGGTGGCCGGCTGTAAGCCATTGCCCGTTCCCTGTCAGGTCACCGGCGACTGTCCCACAAACACCTACTGCTCGGATAGCGTCTGCAAACGTAAGTACTCCCCACGCACCTCTGCCTGCAAATGCCCCACCACCGACTCTACCACCATCCGACTGCAAAACTCTACTGCAAAAACAATTGCATTTGGTGTACCTGAACGAGTAAAGTCTTTTTACCTCTCTTCTTAGTACTTACTTACTCACTTACTTACCAAAAAAAACTAGCACAGAAATCTGTACCAGAGTTGTTGTGACATTCAATGAAGGTTAATTATCATTACGATGTTTTATAGAGTTAATCGTTCAGTGTAGAGCAAAGTTTACATAAATATTAGGTAAACTTTTCTATCTGTAAGTAACATGAATACGATCACCACCTCGATAAATTCTCTGGCCAATCGCGAATGAGGCGAAACGGATGTAGTAAATTCTATAATAGAACATTTCTTTAGGCTGTGCCACTGTCTATGAATTCTAGACTAAATAGCCTACAGAAAAGTGAGTTCAAGACTTACATTAATTTAAAATCCATAGTTTCGATTCTTTATTGAAAATCATATCCAAATAGGGGATTCTCCAAGCAAAAAAGCTTACAAAAAGCTTCAATTATTCCCCCGTTTACTAACAAATATATGATTTCAAATAATTTGCAAACCCTCAAGTGTGTCACAACAACTCAAGAAACTACTATAACTACTAGATACTTACTACAAAAACCTTGGACTGGCTTCGATGCCCACGCATTAAATCAAACGCTAACTCTAACTCTTAGACTAGATGCAAACCAAAACAAAACTTAACTACAAATTACACACAAACGACAACACAAGCCGAACACGAACGTTGCAAGAGACGGGAATTCAACTTCTTATTGAATGCAAGTCAATTAATTGTATCTTTGATTTCCCCTATAAATAAAGCTGCCTGCGTCCTGGACACCGAGTGTGGGCCGTCTGAGGTTTGCCAGGGAGGCCAATGCTTTAATCCCTGTGTCCAGCCCCAGGCGTGTGGCCAGAATGCCGAATGCGTGATGTTGAATCACCTGAAACAGTGCCACTGCCCGGAGGGCTTCACCGGAGACTCGTCGAAGGAATGTGTCCGGGTGCCAGTGGCCTGCGATGGTGACTGCTCGCCTGGCTACACCTGCCGCGACTTCATGTGCCTTCCTTCGTGTAACAACGATCTAGAGTGTGCCTCCAATGAGAAATGCTTGAAGGGCAATTGCATGCGTAAGTTACCTTCCATCTCACCTAATTTTCATGCCTTAATTTGTACATGGTGCTCGATTTTAGTGACCTGCCGCGTGGATAACGATTGTTTCTTGGGGCATGTGTGCCTGCACAACAAGTGCGTCTACGGCTGCCATGTGGATGATGACTGCAGTGCCTCGGAGTCCTGCCGCAACGATAAGTGTGTGAATCCCTGTGTGGAGAGTCCCTGCGGGCCCAATGCCGCCTGCTCGGTGTCCAATCATCGGGCCACATGCAGCTGCTTGGAGAGCATGGTGCCCAATCCCACGCCCCAGGTGGGCTGCGTGCGTGCCCCACCGCTCGAGTGCCGCGAGAATCGTGACTGCGGCAATGGACTGGCCTGCTTCGAGTCTGTGTGCCGCCCCTTGTGCGCCGACGATGCCGGCTGCCTGACCAACGAGCGGTGCCAGCAGGGCGTCTGCAAGCCACTCTGTCGCCACGACAACGAGTGTGCCCACGGCGAACTGTGTCTGGGACTCAACTGCGTCCCCGGCTGTCGCTCCGACCAGGGCTGCCCATCCGAACTCTCGTGCATTGCCCAACAGTGCGTGGATCCATGCGCGGACCCCACCGCCTGTGGAACAAATGCCCTCTGCCAGACTATTGACCATCGCAAACAGTGTACTTGCCCGGAGGGACTTAGCGGCAAGGCCAACGTGGCCTGCAAGGTGCCGCGCATCGCCTGCGGACGCAACGAGGACTGCCAGAACAACCAGTTATGCTACGCCGGAAGCTGTCAGGGCAAGTGCCGCAACGATCAGAACTGTCTCTCGGACGAGCGCTGTATGCGCGGAACCTGCCGCACCGTCTGCAACACGGACGAAGCCTGTTCCCAGGGCCAGATCTGCGAGAATCGGGTCTGTCAAACCGGTTGCCGCAACGACCTGAGCTGTGCCACCGACGAGGCCTGCGTGAACAAAAAGTGCCAGAATCCCTGCCGCAGTCCCGGACAGTGCGGTCAGTGTGCCGACTGTCTGGTGGTGAATCATGGCGTCCAATGCCAGTGTCCGGCCTCCTTCATTGGGGACGGCCTCACCGGCTGCCAACTGCCAGCGGAACGCTGCCATCCTGGATGCGAATGCGACGAGAACGGAGCCTACTGCGCCACCAAGTGCTCCCGAACAGAGGACTGTGCCTGTGGACAGCAATGCGCACGCGGCAAGTGCCGCAACAAGTGCGGACCCAAGCGACAGTGCACCGTGGGACAGCTGTGCGAGCGAGGAGCCTGCATTGCCGGCTGCAAGTCCAACAGTGACTGTGCCGCCGACCAGAGCTGCGTGCGCGGCAAGTGCACGGACCCATGTGCCGACGACAAGGCCTGCGGTCGCAATGCCCTGTGCACCGTTTCCGAACATAGAATGCTGTGCTACTGCCCCGATGGTTACGAGGGAGAACCCAGCAAGGAGTGCGTGCAGTTTGAGTGCCGCCAGGACGCGGACTGCGACAGCAGCAAGCGATGCGATGGCGGCAAGTGCCGCAATCCGTGCCTGGAGTATGGAGCCTGTGGCACCAATGCTCAATGCCGTGTGGTTAATCGCCAGGCCCAATGCTCCTGCCCACCCGACTTCTTCGGCAACCCCGCCAGTGAATGCCAGCCCCTGGATGGCGGCTGTTCCAACAGCCCGTGTGGCGTCAACTCAAAGTGTACCGAAGTGCCCGGTGGCTATGAGTGTGCCTGCATGGATGGCTGCATCGGGGATGCCAACAAGGGATGCCTCTGCGAGGGACCTCTAGTGAATGCCTGCCACGATCAGCCATGCGGCTTGAATGCCGCCTGCCATGTAGTGGGCAACGACCAAGCCGAATGCTACTGCCCGGAGGACTTCCCCAATGGCGATGCCTATGTGCAATGTAAACCAGCATTCGAAAATCTTTCCAAAACAAAAGTTAATTATATTCATTCTTTGCATTAGGTTATTTGACACCGCCGCAGCAGGACTGCCGCACTCTCGGCTGCGATGTGGGAGACTGTGTGCGCCATGGCTATGACTATGTGTGCCAGCAGGGTAAGTGGCCCTCCATTTATACAATTTGCGTGTGTTTTATAGTCCTTAGAGTACAGAATAGTGCCTAATCATGTTAACCAGCGATCCGTTGCCGTTCATATTTACCAACCAAAAACGTAATAACTGGAGGTCTGTTAGTAACCAATTGAAATTGAGTTTGTTGTTATAATTTTTATTGGTTTTTATTAGCCATAGATGCGAGTTGTTTCAACCTCAAAACACAAACAACCCAAATGCTAATTAGCTAATTCCACTAATTCAAACACAGCCTCCTCCGGCTGCCTAGATAAATTCAGTGTAGTGTGTGTGTGCCAAAATCTAAAACGTAATTATTAGAGTATTTATATTTCTTAACAACCAACCTATACACATGTGCGAAAAGCCAGGTATACATACGTATAATTCCAACCCCCAGCACGCTCAAAAACAGAACCACACAACCACCACCTACACAAGAAACAATTCCCACAATTCCCCAGATAGCAAAACACCAAAACAAAGACCAAAGAGATAGTTATAGTTTTTTTTAAGTATATATTCTATAATTTAGAATAGAACCATACATCAAAACAGCATATGGAAATTCGTGGATTGTTGCTGTCGCTATCGCGGTTACCCAATCTGTGCCTAAATTCATTTTTGAAACACACAAAATATAATACTATATGCAGCAGTTTTTAAGTCTAGACTTTAAGTAAATTTAAAATCATACTAATCTGAAAACAAAACAAAGAACAAGAGTTGGCTCTTTCTCCCATACAAACAAAAAAAAAGCTTCAAGCTTGCGTTCGTTCTCATTTTTCATTCCGGCTTTCATAGAGCTGCTCAACTCTCATTGGAATTCGTTTAGTTACCACATACAAATTGGCTTATAAATAACCATCTGTATTGGCAAAATCAGCTCTCTGCGGCATTCATATTCTCGCACAGATTCAGTAGACTACAAGTTGGTTCATCCTCCGCCCTATTTAACCAAATAAAAACAAAATAAGAAAGGCCGCGATAGCGATACGTAGCCCCAGTATTAAATCTAAAACGAATCAAAATGAAACTAAAATTTAAAAAAAGTACAACACATAATAGACAACAATCCTCAACACATCCTTGATACTTGATAAAATGATGATCGAAATCCATAACCCCAAATAATCCTATCCTTCCTTCCTACCGATTCCGCTCTGTCCATCGCCCACCTATTGTACCCTGCCCTATCCACCGCTCTGTCGTATCCCTACATTTTGCTTAAAAGAAAACCCTTTCGTACATTTCTTAAATGAACATAAAGTCTCAGATTGGGAACTGTGGACGGGACAATTCTCACACATAGTTCACACAACATATGCTTGAAATTTGAAACCAATTGAGAGGAACATACAATAGTAAATCAATTTAAGATCCATTACAATTCAGTGATTGTATAGAATCCATAGTAAACCATAAAGCAACATCAACAACAACAACAGCAACTACAACAACAATACAATAAAACAACTACTACTATTTTCAATGCATCCCTAAAGCAAGTCAACAAAATACAAATCACCGAAATGATCTACTATTTTGTACAAAATACACAAAACTCCTTACAAAAGTACATATTAAGAAAGCTCCTGCTGCTGACTATCCTACCACACACTCTATTGGTTGCAAACTCTTTTACAATAAACAACAAACAAATAAAAACCCAGCCCGAATTGAATTTAAAATGTAACTAAATTTAACTAACCTTTCAATATTGTTTTTTGGTACATTTGACTAGCGATTAAGTTGTATATACAGAAAAACTTTGTACATATGTACATATTGTTTATAGACCGCATCTAAGTGGCCAAAACTAACCAAACAAAAAAATCAAACCTGAATTATCCAATCTGTAAATATAATCGAAATTTAAACAACAAAAAAATACTGTGAATAATGAATAACACACGGGGAATGAGAGTTTGAAAACTAGTTTCCAAAGTATACCTAACGTACATTTTCCAAATTGTATTTATTCCTACCCATCGATTTTTCAACTACTATTTCCTGTACTCCTACTAAAGCCTTCCTCTGTTCCTATAAAGCTAATCTTTCGCTCTCTATTTTCTCTGAATCTGAATCAATCACTCACTCACCAAAACCAACCGCCAATAACGTGTCTCTTGTGAGGGCAGAGCGCATGTGTTGGATGTCGTGTAATTTTTGCCATTACTGAACAAAGTCCCAACAGAAACAAAACAAAAAAACCCAACAGCAACATACAACAAATCAATATGTATTAGCTCGAAATCGCATTAATCTTCAGATATATATATCATTGATCAGCATCAAATTGGGTATATCTCCTGCTCTATATGCTCGCCTGTTAAAATATGGTAAATCATCAAGGATTGTAACTATTGCTCACACGTTCTCACTGCTACCTACGCCTGCTACTCGCTCACTTGTACGCTGCCTCCAATACTATCAAATTCATATGACGAAACCCAGAAAGCAGCCCAGAACTTGGCTTGCTTTAAGATACAATACTAAATACTAGATACTATAAAACCCGAGTTATTGTGAGATGTTCCCTTCACAGTTCTACAATTTGAATAAGACAACCAAATGAAATCTGAAAGAAACTTTCTGCTGCACTAAATTTTGGATAAGGAAATCCATTATTTAACTTTCTTTAGTTTTCGTTTCCATATAATTTCTTTATGCACACCGTTTCTGAACACAGTTCGTTGACAAATTCCCAACTCCCCACTCTAAAATTGTACTTTACTTTAACTAAATCCCATGCACAATACCCCACCAACCAAAAAACCCCAAAATGAGTCCACAACAAATCCCACTGACACTTAATCGAACACCACAAACCAAACCACAAATACCGACCCACAACACAAAACCCCAACACCACCCAACCACCACCAAAACAAAACCACACAATAAACACTCCAGCAAAAAAGAAGTCAAAATCAAAACAAACCAACAAAAATATAACTTGATTATACTGTTTATATATTGTCTCGTTTAAGATTTTTCCCTTTTTGTTTATTAGAAACATTTAGTTATAAGTTTTACATCCCAGACCCTACAGCACCCCTCCACCCAAACACTTTTGTTCCATGCAAAAAGCAAGCCCTGAATCTTCTATCAGGCTCTGTCTACCCCCCAAAAACCTTTGACTCAATGACCCTTCAATGTCGCACTTCCGTACTTCTGTGTGCTTCCCTCGGAATGAAGATATATTTAGATATATCTGTTTAGTAGCGTATCGCGTTTATGCCACCGAAAAGATGAATGCACCCACGAAACCACCAACGATTAACATTTAAAAACCAACCAAAAAAAAAACAACTCCTGTCTATCTCTCTCTCGTTCTTCCCGCCTGCTGTATGTTATGTTATAGACACCGAACAATGCTACTCAGATACGGATTGTCCCAGTGAAAAATCATGCCTCCAAGGACACTGCAGCGATCCTTGTACAATGCGTGGCGCGTGCGGCTCAAATGCGCTATGCAAAACTGTTCTGCATCGTCCGCGCTGCTCCTGTCCAAGCTGTCACATCGGCCGGCCCGAGGTCGAGTGCAAGCCCGATCCCAATTGTCTCACCGATGACATGGATGCCAAGACCAAGGAGCAGATACCATGCTCCACTGACAACGAATGTCCGGAGACATTGCAGTGCGGCCAGTACGGCCAGTGCACAGATCCATGCAATAATCCCCTCTTCATTTGCGAGAGCAACAAAAAGTGCGAGACACGACGCCACCAACCCGTTTGCATTTGCAAATCGGGCTTTATAGTCAACGAGTACGGAGAGCTGACGTGTGCACCGGATAAGCGGGAATGCTATCGCGATGATGACTGTGCCTCGAATATGGCCTGCACGGATGGCAAATGCCGGAACCCATGTATTGTGCCTTTGGGCCGGGCACCGATCTGTGCCGAGAATAAGTCCTGCGAGGTACAGAACCACAAGCCCGTGTGCATCTGCATGCGAGACTGTCAGCCCTCGATATCTATTTGCCTGCGTGATGCCGGCTGTCCGGCCGGCCTCGCTTGCCGCAAACTGCAGTGCGTCGATCCGTGCAAGTTTGCAACCTGCGCCCCCAACTCGCCATGCATTGTCGAGGATCACAAGCCGATATGTAAATTCTGCCCTCCTGGATTTATAGCCGATGCCAAATATGGATGTCAAAAAGGTAAAGCACAAACGTACTCTCTCTCACCAACCACTCTTTGGCTCCATGCCGCAAGAGAGTGCCTTATGTCTTTCTGTCTCTCGAATATTGTATCTCTGTTTCCCGCCTTCTTCTCTCTACCACCTACCACTTTCTTTCTCTTACTGTCACTCACACACGCTCTCACGTTTTTGCCTAGCTCTCTCTGTCTTATTGTCTGTCCCCTCACAAGAAACACAAAAATGTACCCAATTTATCCGACGAAATATATTGACTTAATATTCCATCTAAAAGTTTCACAACTCGTCAATCTGTTTCTCGAGAGATTTTTGTGTGTAAATGTACATAGGACTGAGAAACTAACTACCGCCTGTACTCGTATAAAGACCATGCTTATCGAAATGGCCCATAGAAACAGAAAGCTTAGTTACAAGCCGAAAGTGTGGGCCAGTACTCTCGTGTCTAGCGAATATAACATCCCCCAAGTTAAACGCATTGCGCCACTAGCACCTGTGCCAAAGCTAATGCACCATAATCCAAGAAAAAACCTTGACGAAAGTATAGATCCATATATCTGATCTATCTAAATACAAAACAATAGTAACATGAAGACACAATAAATACAAGCAAAACTCTTCTGAACATTCACACACGCTCATGCTCACCGTGATATTAATCAATTTAATCAAAATGCCTCTTGAATACTATGAAAATCTTAACCTATGATTCTATTATAAACGGTAACAAATGTACTACTAATGGTGAAATTAAAAAACAAACAACCAAACAAACAAAAACCAACCCAATATGTAGCTAACTAATAGTAAAGAAGATTGTTTCTAATTTGAAATTGAATTAACCGTATAATAGTTGTTAAAGCTTTCGAAATTTCCCCTCAGTTTTGCAGTTGAATGCAAGAGAATTTAGTAGAATGAAAATTCAATGAGTATTTTTATAGGTACCTTACCCCTTGTACCCGTCTGTATATATATATAGTGCACCTACTTCTTTCTTGTTGTAGCTATACACCCTCTATTCCTCCTTTTATAAATATGGTAAAAATTTGTAAATATTTTAACGTATTTTATTTTTAAATCTTATACTTTTATTTTGAATTATGTACAAAATACTCCACTCAAAAACCCAAAATTATCTAAACAAAAACAAACCAAAAACCAAGCAGATATGCCAGGTGGCAACTGTACCTCCCACGAAGATTGCAGTGAAGCGCAACAATGTGGATCGTCTGGTCAATGTGTCGATCTCTGTCACACATTCTGTGTGAACGCGATAAAGTGCGTCACTCTAGCTCATAAGGTTACCACATGCATATGCCCCAAGACCTCGACAAACACAACTACTACCACGAACTGCATACCGACCAAACAGACAGACGAACCTATCGAAACAACAACGGAGCCAGTCAGTGTTAAGTATACTCTAATGCAGCTGGCAAACCAAACAGAAATGCGAACTCGTTATACCGATATAGAAGCTGAGGACGAAACAACAGTCTCTTATAACACCACAACGGAATCCTACAAAACTACCAAGCACCTCGATTTTGCCACAACACCAATCCCTACCGATACATCCATAGCTGAAGATAAGACAACCAAAGTCAGACCATTGTCTTCTGAAACTACTACAGCTATTCCTCAAGACACCACTAGAATGGGAATATCCGCTTATACCACTGAAGGAGCTCCTAAAACTGTACCAACATTGGTTCCGATCTCTAGGGAAACAACCATCAAGCCAATCGCTTCTGAAACTACCACAGCCATTCCCCAAGACACCACCAGAATGAGAATGACCGATTACACCACAGAAGGAGCTCCTAGGAGTGTGCCAACTGTAGTACCGATTTCTAGGGAAACAACCATTAGTCCACTGGCTTCTGAATCTACTACAGCAATTCCCCAAGAGACTACCCGAATGGGAATGACTGATTATACCACTGAAGGAGCTCCTAGGACTGTAACAACTGCTGTACCGATTTCTAGGGAAACAACCATCAGTTCATCAGTTTCTGAAACTACCACAGGCATTCCCCAAGACACCACCAGAACGGGAATGACCGATTATACCACTGAAGAAGCTCCTAGGACTGTACCAACTGTAGTACCGATTTCTCTGGAAACAACCATTAGTCCACTGGCTTCTGAATCTACCACAGCCATTCCCCAAGACACCACCAGAACGGGAATGACCGATTATACCACTGAAGAAGCTCCTAGGACTGTACCAACTGTAGTACCGATTTCTAGGGAAACAACCATTAGTCCACTGGCATCTGAATCTAATACAGGAATTCCCCAAGAGACTACCCGAATGGGAATGACCGATTATAGCACTGAAGGAGCTCCTAGGACTGTACCAACAGTAGTACCGATTTCTAGGGAAACAACCATTAGTCCACTGGATTCTGAATCTACAACAGCTATTCCCCAAGACACCACCAGAACAGGAATGACCGATTATACCACTGAAGAAGCTCCTAGGACTGTACCAACTGTTGTACCGATTTCTAGGGAAACAACCATCAGTTCATCAGTTTCTGAAACTACTACAGGCATTCCCCAAGACACCACCAGAACGGGAATGACCGATTATACCACTGAAGGAGCTCCTAGGTCTGTACCAACTGTAGTACCGATTTCTAGGGAAACAACCTTCAGTTCATTGGTTTCTGAAACTACCACAGGCATTCCCCAGGACACCACGAGAATAGGAATAACAGATTATACCACTGAAGGAGCTCCTAGGACTGTACCAACAGTAGTACCGATTTCTAGGGAAACAACCATTAGTCCACTGGCTTCTGAATCTACCACAGCCATTCCCCAAGACACCACCAGAACGGGAATGACCGATTATACCACTGAAGGAGCTCCTAGGACTGTACCAACTGTAGTACCGATTTCTAAAGATACAACCATTAGTCCACTGGCTTCTGAAACTACGACAGCCATTACTCACGACACCACCAGAACGGGAATGACCGATTATACCACTGAAGGAGCTCCTAGGACTGTACCAACTGTAGTACCGATTTCTAGGGAAACTACCATCAGTTCATTGGTTTCTGAATCTACCACAGCCATTCCCCAAGACACCACCAGAACGGGAATGACCGATTATACCACTGAAGGAGCTCCTAGGACTGTACCAACTGTAGTACCGATTTCTAGGGAAACAACCTTCAGTTCATTGGTTTCTGAAACTACCACAGGCATTCCCCAGGACACCACGAGAATAGGAATAACAGATTATACCACTGAAGGAGCTCCTAGGACTGTACCAACAGTAGTACCGATTTCTAGGGGAACAACTATCAGTTTATTGGTTTCTGAAACTACCACAGGCATTCCCCAGGACACCACTAGAATGGGAATAACAGATTATTCCACAGAAGGTGTCCCAAGAACTGTACCGACTTTGGTTCCGATCACTGGGGAAACAACCATCAGGTCAATCGCTTCTGAAACTACCACAGCCATTCCCCAAGACACCACCAGCACAGGAATGACCGATTACACCACAGAAGGAGCTCCTAGGAGTGTGCCAACTGTAGTACCAATTTCTAGGGAAACAACCATTAGTCCACTGGCTTCTGAATCTACCACAGCCATTCCCCAAGACACCACCAGAACGGGAATGACCGATTATACCACTGAAGGAGCTCCTAGGACTGTACCAACTGTAGTACCGATATCTAAAGATACAACCATTAGTCCACTGGCTTCTGTAACTACGACAGCCATTCCTCAAGACACCACCAGAACGGGAATGACCGATTATACCTCTGAAGGAGCTCCTAGGACTGTACCAACTGTAGTACCGATTTCTAGGGAAACAACCATCAGTTCATTGGTTTCTGAAACTACCACAGGCATTCCCCAGGACACCACGAGAACAGGAATGACCGACTATACCACTGAAGAAGCTCCTAGGACTGTATCAACTATGGTTCCGATCTCTGGGGAAACAACCATTAGTCCACTGGCTTCTGACAATACCACAGCTATTCCCCAAGACACCACCAGAACGGGAATGACCGATTATTCCACTGAAGGAGCTCCTAGGACTGTACCAACTGTAGTACCGATTTCTAAGGAAACAACCATTCCTCCACTTGCTTCTGAATCTACTACAGGCATTCCCCAAGACACTACCCGAATGGGAATGACTGATTATACCACTGAAGCAGCTCCTAGGACTGTACCAACTGTAGTACCGATTTCTAGGGAAACAACCATTAGTGCACTGGCTTCTGAAACTACCACAGCTATTCCCCAAGACACCACCAGAACAGGAATGACCGATTATACCACTGAAGGAGCTCCTAGGACTGTACCAAGTGTAGTACCGATTTCTAGGGAAACAACCATTAGTCCACTGGCTTCTGAAACTTCCACAGCCATTCCCCACGACACCACCAGAACGGGAATTACCGATTATACCACTGAAGGAGCTCCTAGGACTGTATCAACTATGGTTCCGATCTCTGGGGAAACAACCATTAGTCCACTGGCTTCTGACAATACCACAGCTATTCCCCAAGACACCACCAGAACGGGAATGACCGATTATACCACTGAAGGAGCTCCTAGGACTGTATCAACTATGGTTCCGATCTCTAGGGAAACAACCATTAGTCCACTGGCTTCTGAAACTACCACAGCCATTCCCCAAGACACCACCAGAACGGGAATGACCGATTATACCACTGAAGGAGCTCCTAGGACTGTACCAACTGTAGTACCGATTTCTAGGGAAACAACCATTAGTCCACTGGCTTCTGAAACTTCCACAGCCATTCCCCACGACACCACCAGAACGGGAATTACCGATTATACCACTGAAGGAGCTCCTAGGACTGTACCAACTGTAGTACCGATTTCTAAGGAAACAACCATTCCTCCACTTGCTTCTGAATCTACTACAGGCATTCCCCAAGACACTACCCGAATGGGAATGACTGATTATACCACTGAAGCAGCTCCTAGGACTGTACCAACTGTAGTGCCGATTTCTAGGGAAACAACCATCAGTTCATTGGTTTCTGAAACTACCACAGGCATTCCCCAGGACACCACGAGAATAGGAATAACAGATTATACCACTGAAGGAGCTCCTAGGACTT